GAATTGTGAGTCCAGACGAACGTTTTGGTTTTCTAAGAGCGGAAGAGGAAATTCTGTGTTGGCGATGTGTAGCTAGAAGACGCAGGGTAAGCAACGGTTGGCATCGAAGGCACTGACGATAACACGGGTGTGAGGAGGTGCCGCACTACTCCGCTTTCCACTGGAGGCAAACATCAAAGTGCATTGACAGTTTCAGCTGTGGTCATGTGAGCCTGATTTTGGTTCTAGAATGTGGCACAGGAGGGCTGTTCACTTGGTGGTTGGAGGGAGAGAAGGACCAGGGTCTCACTGTACTGTTCAAGGTCATCTCCACAGTGTCTTAACTTCTTTTGACAAGGTACATCTCTCCAGCCCCATTCGTTTATTTATTTATCTATCTATCTATTTATTTATTTATTTATTTTTAGTTAGCTTAAATTTTCTGGTGTAGTACTCCATCTTCTTGATCGAATCCTTCGCTGTCAGCCTTAGTAAGGAAGGAAACCTCTTTCTAAGGTTTCACTGTCTCCCAGTAGCCCTGTAGCTGTAGCTAAGAGTCAGGACTTAACAGAAGGGCCTTTGAGAAAAACTTCAGATATCTACAGCTAATTCCACTTTTTTTTTTTTTACTAGTTTGATGTTAACATGATGAACGAGGGACATGGGACAGCATGGTTTAGTGACTTTGGCAATTCATGGACCTTCTATTGTAATCTCTTTGTGAGGAATATGTGAGATATGCCTGGCTTATGGTGTTTTATGTAGATTCACAGTTACTGAGCTATCCTAATAATTACAGGTTCTACAGTCACGAAGACAGTCTGCAGGGTAGGATCACAAAGGTCTAGCCTTACCTATATATTCTTACATGCTTCATAACGATGACTAGGTTGGAGACCTACTAAGTTTGACATAAAACTTGGCTGAAATTATATATAGCTCCCAGTGTTGAAATTCAAAAGAATTCTAATGACTTTTCTGAGATGAAACCTGAACATAATATCTGATAGAAACATTTAGAAAAGTCTTGCATTTGAGAATGAAGGAGAGAAATATGTTAACTGAAAATTGGGGCGATAATGCTTGATAATTTGCATGAAATAAATATTCAAATTGAAATTCATCAAAAATCCATATAAGTTGAAGATATGAAGTGGTTTCTTGAAAAGCAGAAACAATCTTAACTTGAATGGAAACAAAAGGTCCAGAAAAGTAATATCATCATTATGGCTCAGTTAAACACAATAGATTGCATCGATAGTCATCATACGCATATTCAAAATATTTACTGCAGAGCTGTCACATGGTAAGAGATGCGGCCTCTCTACTCAAAGAGCTTCCAGCTAGCAAGAGAGAGGAGTCATGTTCAAAATAAAATAAAAGCAAATCAGTCTTCTACTTGGGTATTGAAAAGGAAAAGCAACCAAGTTCAACATTTACTGCCTTTCTCTTATATAGTGCTTTACACATATTTTATCTCCTCAGCAGCCATATTAGGTTAATTTTATAAACTTCTACATATTTAGAAGAAATGGAAAATGATGCTTCGTGTGAGCAGCAATGAAGGTCTGTATGAATAAGTATAAGGAAGAGAGTGTAGGTTTGAAAGCTCTTCATAAAGCTAGGATGGAATGTGGAGAGCCTTGAAAGGAGGTCCATCAATGGTAGCTAAACTCTGTTAAGCTTGAACAAATGTAAAAACAGCATTTTCCCTAAGCAAAAAATAAGCAACATTAGAGATTTACAAAGTAAATGTAAATTTGGGCATTGTAAACTCACGATTTTCACGTAAGGAGTCAACCCAGATAATTTTGTGCAACAAAAAGTTCCTAGTGGGAAGAACACTTTAGATTTGGTTATCAAGTAAAACTGATGCAGATGAATAAATGCAAGATAGAGGGACCACAGTACATAGAAGTATCTGCAGCCTTCAAGTTAAGAGGAGGAGACATTATTGAAAGAGAACACTGAAGAAGACAGTAGATACGTCCAGACATCTAAAGTGTTTTCTAGTATAGACTTGTTCTAGACTGATCCAGGATAATTTTCTTGTAAGTCCAGCAAGATGCTGTTTGCTATTACCAGACAGGATTTGAACATAAGAAAAAACCCACTATCAACAAACCACAATACATACCCTTCTTGCAGAGGGAAAATAATATCTCCCAGTGGACTTACAAGAAGTAAGGATCATGAATTAATTCATAGTAGGAATGCACACAAAACTAAGAAAGCCAGGGTTTCCAGATGGACCATTGAAAAACTGTCTAATTCTGTGGGACGGAAACTAAGTACTGGCAAGCAAGGCCTGGTATCAGAATTATGTCACCATAATAGAAAGTTCTAGAAGGCTAATAAATCGAAGGGAATTTTGGTATAATGGCTAAAGAGGAGATAGAATTGGATGGTAATAAAATTTGACAAAACAAGTTTTACTTCTGTGGAAATTAAAGGAGCAGAAGGATAATGCATTCAAATATGAATTGTTCTCAATAAGAAGGATTTAACCAGATATTTGGTTTTTAAAAGCAAACCTAAGTCAATCCATTTCATGTTTGAAAAACTGTAGATTACATTTTTAAACAACAATTGAATTGAGAAAGGTCGGTTTTTGTTAATATCTTAAAAGGAAAAACTTAGATTTTAATGTTCATCTTTAAGCGATGTGCCATATAGGAGCATAGTTGAAAAGGAGACAGACAAAGCCCAAAGAAGCCTTCTTATTGGTGCAGCGCTGTATAAGTAGGCAGATAAATACAAAAACAGAAGCGCGTTAGCTTTCAGACTTAAGAGCATCAAAACCACTGGTATTTGAGGCCTAGCTTTTTCAAATAATTTCCAAAACTTTCCTATATTATTTGACATATAAAATGAGTACATTGTCTCATTTCAATATTAACTAAGTCTGAAGTTTTTGAGAACATATCACCAAGTTTTCTGAAGTATGTGCCTTTCCATTGGTGTGGAGTACATTCTATAAAATATTGGTAATAATCATATCATAAACAAACAGAGGTCTTCAGTTACAGCACTGACTACTTCCTGGTGAAAAAGGTTTCAAAATCATGTTCACCTATGGAGTAAAGACAAATTTTCATTTTCCACAATTGGGAGAGAGAGAGAAGTAAAGACTCATTTGGTTCTGTAGAACAGATCTTATGAGGCTTACCTCAAAAGGAAATTAATATTTTAATACCTGAGAAATAGGTTCTCTGACAAATAGAAAATGGATGCAACATGAGAGAAATGAATTACAAAGGAACAAAACTACAAATTGATAAAAAGCCCTTGTGAAAAACATAACTGTGAAAAGAAGAAGTGAATTTTTAAAAGGAATTTGAATCCAGGTAAAATTTACTTTAAATATGATATACCACAAAAATGGACAACATCACGAATACCACTCAGCTTAAATGTCAAAATGCTTCCATATAATGGCTGAAGAATTAAACTGTGTTTTTATACTACTTCTACTACTGATAGAATACTGCTCGGAACTCCAACTACTGGAGTTAATGGTTAGATACTTTGGTAGTGAGCAGCCAGATTCGAAGCGTCTCTTTTCTCTAATGGCAAATGCCATGTTTGCTCTGTAGGTCCTGATGAGTCATAGCATTGGGCCACGGCAGTACCTGTAGATATCAAAAGGCCCAAAGTCATGGAGTTGTTTTGTAGTTAAACTGACGATGACGACAACAGCAACAAAGCCTCTGGGCTCAGTTATTGCAATCACGTCACTGCGAGTGACCCACCAAGGAGAGCCGCTTTCTACCTGCTTACACATGTAGCCTTTCATGTCCATGAATGAATGCAGTAGGCAATGCTTTTTTTCCTCTGTGAACTATTTACTGATTAAGAGCTATCAAATTTGCTTTTTGCAAACAGTTATTCAACTTGCACACAATAACATGCAATTGCAGACGTCAGTGGTAAAATGTAGGTACCTCCTGAAAATACACAAAAGCATCCTATATCTTTTTAAAAATCAACAGGTTTTCCCTTCATGCTTATTTATCTAGTATTAGCATCACCAACATCAAATCTGAAATAGTTACAATTGGGGTGCAATAGGATATTCTAGGTAAAAAGTATTTTAGTAGTAGCCACTAGACAACAGTCTTTAGTGAGAAGATACTTGTTGTTTCATGAAATGAGACATGCAACCTCTAGCTTAAAAAATAATGAGCCCGTCTGTACACAAACAACAGATTCTGCATCAAATACAAGGGTTGTTAAAGTCTATTAAATTAAGGAACAGCAGAAAGCATTATTGAGGCCATATCTTCACAGAGCTATCGTTTAGGAATGGATGTGTTGGAATCAAAAGGAAATCCTTAAATTACAAACCCAGATGTCTTCATGATGCTGAAGCACATGCATGCTGGATTCCTAGAGTTCCAGAACCTCGGGATCTTCACGAATCTACCCCCAAAGACCCGAAGACATCAACCTTGAGAGATTTTCCTTAAGAGAATATTTGGGTGGCTCCTCAGACAACCATTCCTTCCAAAGCACTGGTAAGCTTGATCTGGAAATTCTCAACCTGTCTCACCAAAGATGCCTAGACCATCGTTATTATTCTACCTTATGTTGACTCCGGTTGTCTTCTACATATTAAGCTGCAGGAAGCATGGAAACTTCCTACAAGACATCATGGGAGAAACATCAGCAATCCGTATATACACAACACATTTTCTTTCTTTTTTTTCTTTTTTTGACAGCATCAGCAGCTGCAGAGGCATTCTTTCCTTTTCAGAATTTGAGCTCACCCAGACCTACAGACTTTCCCTGCCCCCCACCCGGCTCTCTTGTCTCTGAAATCCAAGAGAATAAGGACACCTTCTCCTCAGGACTGGCGCTGGAACCCAGTTGGTGAATGCTGAGGAGGGGGGAGAAAGTTACTTCACAGGCAGCAGGGGTGGATGGGCTCACCTTCCATGTTTGTTGCCATGGAGATGAATTCCAGCCAGTAGACTTGTTGGTAGGTTTGTCTGTGCTCGCCGATCGGTTCAATGTAAACGGCGGCGGCGTGTTCCAAGGACCTGCGTGGAGGGAGTCACAGGACCGTGGGTTGCGCTTTTCTGGCCTACGTGTATAAATGTCTGGGTCTGGGTGAGAGACAGGACACAGGCAGCCGCGGAAGGGCGTGCGCGAGAGTGTTTGCAGGAAAATGTGTGTGCATGTGTGCATTTCTCTGGTGTGGCGATGTGTAAATATTTGCGCGCAGGTGGATGTGCGAGCAAAGGAGGTGGGACGCGAGATGGGGAAGGGACTCCAACAACAGCAACAGGGTCTGTTTTTCAGGTCTTAGAAAGAGCGGAGACAAGGGCTCATTTTCATTCACATCGCACCCTGGAGCTTAGCAATCAGGGTTCGTCACTATTTGTGCTTCCTAGAGTAGTGAGGGTTTAATTAATTCGTTGCGAAAATCCTTGCCTCTGCTATGTCTCCAGCTGTGCCGAAGGCATCTCGCTGTGCGTGGAAACAGCGGTCTCGAGTTGTTAGAAGGCGCTACGGTTTTTATATTTCCTTTGATCAGACAAAGGGGGAAAAAAAACGAGTGAAAGGTGTACTGGTTTAACCGAAAACTGATGCGTCACTTAGTCATTTAGTGTTCGTTTGCACTACCCACGCCCCTTTCTTCCTAAGCCCCACCCCACCCCTTTCCGCAGACGCCTGGAGCTGTCCGCAGTGCTGAAAGCGGAGGCAGCCCTCCCTCCTGCGAGAAGACGCCTAACTAGCTGTGACAGAACCATTCAGGTAGAGTAAGGTTGGTTTTCTAAAGCGTTGAATATACACACTGCAAACAAACAGAACTGAAAGCAAAAGCAGAGCACATCAAAGCAACAGATACTTCCCATCTCATCCCTCCTCGAGGTTTCTCCACACTCAGTTTTAATATTTCTGAACTGTGACTGTCCTTTGACTCTATTCCCAGAACCTACCCTTGGCAAGCACCTGTGGATCCCCTATAAGTGTAATTGCTCCTCTGATGAACTATTGAATTGCTAATATTTATGGGGCATGTAGATATGGAATTTTGACATTATTGTTTCTGTTGTTGTTATTTAGCTGAGAACACATAAGTGTGAGCGTGACCAGATTTAGTAATGAAGACAAATTTTATGGTCACCTTGAGTATTATTACTTAAGACATTTAATGATCTTACAAAAAAGTTGCACAGAAAATAAGTGTTAGTGGAGCGCCCAGCCACAAATGGAAAATCTGCATCACCCCCTTCAAAGCTTATAGACCACTGAGCAAGAGGAAAAGAAAAGATTATAAGAACTGTGGTGGTGTGCGCCTTTAATCCCAGCTCTTGGGAGGCAGAGGCAGGCGGATCTCTGTGAGTCTGAGGACAGCCTGGCCTACAAGAGCTAGTTCCAGGACAGCCAGGGTTGTTACATAGAGAAACCCTGTCTCGAAAAAAGAAAAGAAAAGAAGCAGAGGGTGGACCCGAGCAAAACAGTGTTTTCTGAACAAGACAACTCTCTGCTTACTTATGAACTCACAGCAGTCACACAAGACCAAGCCAGTCGGTTCTAACACGGTGTGGGGGAGGGGATCCTGAGCACCCACCCCTAATTGATGAGTTATTGACATTTGATAGCTTCTGTGGGGGGAGACAGTTTTTAAGGGTGTGGTTCCTGGTAGGTTGATCAAATTTCTGTAGTTAGCCTCATATCTAGGTGGGGGAGTATGAGGTTAGCACAAATTGAACACAGTGGATCTTTTTAAAGGAGCAGAGAGGAAGTGAGGACATTATGGATGGTGGGCCTAGGAGGAGTTGGGGGGGGAAATGAATATGGTCATATGTTATATTAAATTCTCAAATAAATAATAACAATATCTTATGTTTTTTAAAACTTGCACAAAGCATATTGGGAGCTCATAGAAGGCCATCTTTTAAAAAAATTGTTCCCCCTTTAAATGTAAAACGATCACGACATCTTAAGGAGTAGCTGACCTAATTGCCTGCCGTGAAAGAGCAGAGGCTGTCTCTTCTTTCAGGGGCATGCTCACAGCTGTACTGACTTTTCCAGATGTTTTAAGGGCTGCATCCTTTCTTAAGGCTCTGAACTAAAACAGTTGCTTGAATTTTAATGTAGCTATGAATTTCACATTTGTGAGAATCAGAAGACGCTAATTCCGTAGGTGTAAGGTTATGTCCCAGATTCCTCATTCCTAACATCTGTTTGAGCTGAAGGCAGAAGCTTCTAGTCTTAAAACCATACTTCAACTATCCAGGTACTAGAAGTATTGCATTCTAGCAATGCACTTCCTTATAGAGTCTAAACAGTGAGGTAATTTTCTCTGACCTATATTTTAAGATTATGTAGATGGAGGTTTCTGTCCTGCCTGGTACCACAGCCATTCAGTTCCAAATAAATGCACAGAGGCTTCTATTAATTATAAACTGTTTGGCCTATTGGCTCAGATTTATTATTAACTAGCTTTTACAACTTAAACTAACTCATAATTCTTATCTATGTTTAGCCACGTGGCTTGGTACTTCTCTCAATGAGGCATTCTCATCTTGCTTCCTCTGCATCTGGCTAATGACTGACTCTCTGCCTTTTCTCTTTTCAGAATTCTCTTAGTCTGATTGCCCTGCCTATACTTCCTGCCTGACTACTGGCCTACTAGTGCTTTATTAAACCAATATGAATGATGAATCTCCACAGTGTACAAGAGCATTATCTCACAGCAAGATTATTTCACTGGCTGGAGAGATGACTCAGTGCTCGAGAGCCCTTGCTGGTTGTGATGGTTTGAATGTGACTGTTTCCCATAGGCTCATGTATTTGAATAGATGGTCTTCAGTTGCTCTAACTGTTTTGGGAAGGATAATGAGGTGGCCTTGTAGGAGGAGGTGTGTCACTGAGGGTTAGCTTTGAGATGTCAAAATACTCTTTCCATTCCCAGAGTCTCTATCCTTCTGTCTCATACTTGGGGATCAAGATTTGAGCTCTCTGGCTGACCAACCCTGCAACCACCCAGGCCAGGGTCAGGATTATGAGTTGGCCCACTCCAACATCCACCCAATCTGCGATCTGTTGAAGCACGGGAAGGGACAGGTCCTGCAGACCCAAAGCTGCAGGATATCCATGACATAGGACAACAACAGGATAAGCAAGAGGAGCTCCAGTGAGGGCCCAGCATTGATGATGTAGCAGAAACCAGAGGTCTTGAACCAGACCAATGACTCTTTGCAATGAACACTTGCAAGTAAAGATATATGGATAAAAGGTTTTATTGCATGTCTCCCTATGCCACACTACAGCTTCCATGATGAGATTGATTTTTTTCTTTTTGTCTTCTCCTTTCCTTCTTTCTTTTTTCTCTTAAATTTTATTTTATTTTATTTTTTGGGGGTGTTTGCAAGGGCAGAGGGCAGATGCGAAGGGATGGGGAAATGAATGGAATGGAGATGCATGATGTGAAAGACACAAAGAATGAATAAAAAGAAAGTTATTTTTAAAAAAAAAGATGTGAGTTCTCAGTAACTTCTCCAGTGCTGCCATGCCCACCTGTCTGTTATCATGCTCCCTGCCATGATGGTCATGGACTCTAACCCTCTGGAACTGTAAGCCCAGCAGGAATTCTTTTCTTTTTTTAAATATTTATTTATTTATTATGTATACAATATTCTGTCTGTGTGTATGCCTGCAGGCCAGAAGAGGGCACCAGACCCCATTACAGATGGTTGTGAGCCACCATGTGTGTAACGGCGTAAACAAATGCAGACAGATTGTAAAAATATATATATCTATAGCTTTAATGTAGAAATAGACTTACAGAACCACCGTTCCCGTGGAGACCAGGAAAGCAGAAGCGACGGCTGGGAGCACGCTCGCCAAATTTATAGGCAGATATTAGCCCGAGGCAAACACGTCCCCCAAGGGGCGGGACCTATCCCTACATCTCCCCTTTTTGTCTAAATAAGACAGAACCAAACCAAATACAACTATATACAATAACAACAAATAATAAATATAACAAACAATATTGAGAACAAAATCTTTGCTAAACATTCTATCTCAAGGAGTCCAAATAATGTAGAGAGTAACTACAATTATATAATCTTCAACTCCGTCAAAGATCTGAGAAGGGAATAAACACTACTCAACAAACAAGATATATCCAAAATGTGCAACAATTGGCAGAGACAACTGACTACCTGGGCAATCACTCAAAGTCTCGTTTGCAATGTTAAGTCAACCAATTTTGGCTAAGGCCTAACATAACTGACATACCATTATTAAAGGCAAGGAACTTTTCAAAACTATCTTACCCTGTCTTGGCAGGATATGACAGTCCTGTTTTATCCATTGATGCACGCTCTGTATCTCTGTCAGTGGTTGAGGTATGGGCATTTCTTTGCCCAAAGGCCAGTTCTGCCAAAAAGAAAGGCTCCAGGTGGAGTGTCTTTGGTGCTCAACATTCTCTCGGGAATAGAGCGGTGTTGCCAGGAGCAATTGTGTCTCACTATCACGAAACTCTGAGTTAGATTAAAGGCCATTTTCTACAGCTCTTTGAAGAGGTTGAAGATTATCTATCTATACTGAGTATAATCTCTATATATCTAGAGAACCTGATTACTCTAATTATAAATGACAAACTTAGATGACTATTTATCTATATAATTCTCAATATCTATCTAACTTAAAGACTAAGTTGGAGGAGTCAGTTCTCTTCTTTATGATGTGAGTCCTGCAGACTGAACTTAGGTAGTAAGGTTTGGGAGCAAGTACCTTTAAGCACTAAACCATCATGCCAGCCCACTCTGTATTTCCTCAGTGTTCTCAAGGGCTCTTAAATACACGATCTTTTTTTTTTTTTTTAAAAAAAAGCCTGGCTTAAAGGGTCAGAACCAAGTGACATGGATCTGATATAGCGTCAAACTTCATTTCAGGAATGATTATCATAGCTAGAGATTTTTAATTGTTATTTTATGACTTTAAATATAGTTCTATGGTAAATGCCCAGGAAGCCCTATGTTAAATACCAGTATTCTAGGGTTAAGGAGATGGTTCAGCAGCTAAAGTGTGTACTGCAGCTCTAACAACCACCTGTAACTCCAGCTCCAGGGACTCTGATATCTTAGTGTTGCCTCTGTAGTCACCCACATGCAGGTGGCACACACACACACACACACACACACACACATATCGAGAGAGAGAGACGACATAAATAAATAAAAATAAATCTTTAAAAGCACTTGGATGCTACACATCTAATTCTCACTCAGTTATAGAAGAACAGGAGAGCATTTTTGTTTGACCGTTGATGTCACAAGTCCATACATAGGTTTTGAAGGTTGCTCTGGGTGGTTGTCTGCCTTTTTTTTTTTTGTTTTTTGTTTTTTTGGTTTTTCGAGACAGGGTTTCTCTGTGGTTTTGGAGCCTGTCCTGGAACTAGCTCTTGTAGACCAGGCTGGTCTCTAACTCACAGAGATCCGCCTGCCTCTGCCACCCGAGTGCTGGGATTAAAGGCGTGCGCCACCACCGCCCGGCGTGTCTGCCTTTTTTAAAGACTTATTTTATGTGTATGAGTGTTCTGCCAACATGTATGAATTTGCATCATGCATGCTTGGGGCCCACAGAGGTTGAAAGAGGGCATCGGATCCCCTGGAGTCGGAATTATGGGTGGTTGTAAACTACCATGTGGGTGCTGAAATCAAGCCCAGGTCCTATGCAGGGAAAAAAAAATACTCTTGGCTGCTGAGCCATCTCTTCAACCCCCTGGTTTTCTATTTTTAAAAATTATACATCATTTAATACAATCCTTCCAGTTAATGTTTTCGAATTGATGCCAAAGGAAAGCTTTAACTGCAAATTAGGTTCTTTGGTGTTAGTTGGCACACGACCTTGATCTTTGCAAGCTAGCTGGAAGAAGATGATGCTTTCAAAAGTCTGAAAAGTGGCCCATTCAGGAGCATGTGATTAGAAATCCATTCTGTTCCACTTCCTTTGCTAGGTGCTGGGATCCAAAATAAATTAGATTTGTTATCTGTCCTTGAGAAGATTTGTTATTGTAAAGCAGTGCAAAACTTCTACAAAGTTATACTTCTATAGAAATTAATATACGACTTATGTTTTATTCTTTATTTTTTTGCAAAAGAACTGGTGAATTAACGCAACTGCAATGAACGTGTGCCCTTCACATTCTTGCACAACTTCCATAGAAGGTACTGAGAGAAACGAAACTCACTAATGGCTTTCTGAAGTAATGCTTTCAGAGACTATGATCTGTTTCCAGAATAGAAGACAAGTTGTGATTGACATTGTACAACCCCTGACAAAAATCACCTTTAACATGCTTTGGTGCTACATTGGACTTTATCTACAAATATTCTATTGGAAAGATTCCTGGTTTACATAAACTGCTTAATTTTTTTATAGAGTTGTTATTAGATATTAGTTGACATACATACAACATTAATTTTGTGTGTGTGTGTGTGTGTGTGTGTGTGTAGTTAGTCAACACATCGCCTACTACTTTATCTTTAAGATGCTGTGCAGTTTAGAAAGCTTGGAAATTTCCCAAGAAGCACTGCTTGAAATGCAAATGGAGCACTCCTACCCACTCCTCATTTAAATCAAACCGGAGCAGGAGCTGTGCTTTTTTCTCATATATTGTGAAGACTGTGTGACTGATTGTGTTTATTGCTTCTTTTACCTCCCAGGGAGACCAGAGTCAAATTAATAACTAAAAATTATCACTCATATATTTTTTAAAAATTTGTTTCTTTTCTCTATTTAGTTATTTGTCTTTGAATTGTTTTTTAAATTAATTCTTAAAAAAATTCAGATTATGGTCACCTATAAAATTAGTGTCATAAAGTCAGAAGAGGAGAAATAACTTAAAGTCATTTACTCACAGCCAAAACAATGACTGTTAGGTGAATGTGTATGATAGGTTTATGTACATATTTATATAATTTATTTTAGTAGGATATTGAAAGATAGGAAACTACATAACCTAATTATTATGGAAATAAAAATCTAAATTATAATCTTAAATATTAAAATGTTTTAAAATTGATTTTACTGAGCTATACATTTTTCTCTGTTCCTCTCCCCTACTCTCCCCTCTCCTTCAGCCCTCTCCCATGGTCCCCTTGCTCCCAATTTACTCAGGAGATCTTGTCTTTTTCTACTTCCCATGTAGATTAGATCCATGTATGTCTTTCTTAGGATCCTCATTGTCGTCTAGGTTATCTGGGATTGTGATTTGTTGGCTGGTTTTCTTTGCTTTATGTTTAAAAACCACCTATGAGTGACTACATATGATATTTGTCTTTCTGGGTCTGGGTTACCTCACGCAATATGATGTTTTCTAGCTCTATCCATTTTTCTGCAAATTTCAAGATGTCATTATTTTTCTCTGCTGTGTAGTACTCCATTGTGTAAATGTACCACATTTCCTTATCCATTCTTTGGTCGAGGGGCATTTAGGTTGTTTCCAGGTTCTGACAATGACAAATAATGCTAAATGTTAAAATGTTAAGTTGGCAGAAAAGAGTTTCAAATTTATAATTACAAATTAGCTTAACCTTAAAGCACAGTGTATTCTGTTTCTTTTGTAGACCCTAAATATTGTCTTTTAATTAAGTTAGAGATCAGA